AACTCAACCCAGAGATGGTCTGCCAAGCTACTCCCCTGTGTCTCGGCTGGATCTGCGGGAGGGGAGTCCAGGTCCGACCGAAACCGAGCAACTTTGTCCGCCAAGAATTGGACATACTCTTCAGCCTTACCCTTTTTCACCAAAAACAGACCTGTTTTTCACAAAAACAGGGTGTGCAGAGGGTTTGGGAGGCCTGCAGAGTGCTCCTGGGAGCTGGGGAGTGCAGAAATGGGATGCGTGGGGGGTTTGGGAGGCCAAAAACAGGTCCGTTTTTCTCAAAAATGGAATGTACAGAGGGTTTGGGAGGCCTGCAGAATGCTCCTGGGGGCCGAGGAGTGCAAAAACTTTTTTTCTTGTTTTCCTTTTTGAAAACTTGGTGCATTTTATATTTCAGTGTGTCTTATAGTCCAAAAAATACAGTAGTTTCGTAAAAGCCGTAACAACTGCACTGGTACAAACTTGGACAGTTGTAATCTGGGTTAGATTTTTATACAATGTTTTGTGGCTTACTGAGCTGGTTATTTCAACATTTTGGCATTTAGTGTATTATACAAACCATGAAAAGAGGATTGAATTTGTAGCCAGGATATTTGCATCTATGAGCTCCATAACATAAAGTAGCTAACTAAATAACCTTGAGAAAGATTTTGAAAATATTTTGGATTCGATTATTTGCCACAACAAAAAAATCTCTTTCAGGATTTCCAAAATAACTCGATAAAATCATATTTGGAAAAGGAGATGAGGAAATCCATCTTAGCAGCAAAATTGCACCTGATGCAGGGAATTTTAGAAGAATCACAACCACAACAGAAACTACCACTAGAGCAGCATTTCTGAACCTTGCCAATTTTAAGCTATGTAGACTTCAACTCCCAGAATTCCCCCAGAAGCGTGCTTTAAGTAGTTAACCATAACCCTAAGTCCAATAACTTCTCTTTCTTGGTTGAAGAATTCTGGGAATTGAAATCCACACATCTTAAAATTGCTGAGGCTGAGAAACATTTCACTAGAGAAAACCCTTTCCATAGGACCCCTCCTCTGTTCAAAAAGGGTCTCTGGGGAGGCTCCAAAATTGCTGTGTCAACATGTACCTCAAAAGAGAGAATGTTTAGCAGGGACTCGGGGTTATCTGAAGCAGCAGCTGCATTTTGTAAATTGCAGGAATTTGGTAAATTCTGTGAACCAAGCAATGTATCAGGATTTCCTTGGCCTGAGATGCCCAGAACATCCCTGTGGGAAACTGTTCCCTCTTCAGCTTCACCTCCCTCCCTCCATCTCCTTTGCTTTTCTCCTCATCATCTGGATACAACTAAAACACTCTTCATCTGGAGCCTTCAATTGGACCAAAACTGAATCAAAATTATTTGAACCAAAGTAATTCAAATGGGGTAACATGCATAATGCAGGGATCCGTGTCTCCCAAGGGAATGCAATTTGGAAAAATTGTGTCACATCGACATTTTAAGGGAAGAACCATCCATCTGGTTCAGTTCCAATGTTAGATCGGGTGAATGGAAGACGCAGACTCAGGCTTGCAGTAACAACAGCTCTTTATTAGTGACAACTGTACAATCCAGCAAAATCTCTGACTGGCAGCAGCCCTTTTATAGCAGGGAGATCCTGGTCAAGTCCATTCTGTTCACGGGTGACTTCATGACAATTATTTAACCCTTTAACTCCAAAACATTGGATGAAGTGAAAAAAAGGAATGGGAACTATGTGTACTACTTTAAGAAACTGAATACATTTGGGATATAAATAAAACAAAATGAATGATATAATGTCCAAGGAACATAAGAACATAATGGTCTTAATTATCTGGGGACAGGATGGGAAAGGATGATGTTTCAAGATAAGATTTTCTATGTTGTCAAGCTCGGCAATGCCCTACTTACCCTTCCATCTCCCCTGAAACAAACACATAAACACGCAAATATACTGAACATTGTATTATTTTCTCAGGAAACTTAGAAAGACTTCCAGTTGACATCATGGCGAGAACAGCTGAAAAATAGTGTACTCCACTGAGCCATGCGAAATCCAGCTGGTAACTGCTGTCGGGAGACCCTACGGGGTCATAGCTGCCTTGTAGGGGGAGTGAAGGAAGGAGAGGCACTTCACTGACCATGAGAAACTAGCAATTTTATTGTTAGGTCTGAAGCAAGCTTTCCCAAACAGCAGCAGAGACGATGGCCATTCTTGGCAATCACAAAGCTGGGACAACCGGGACCATAAGATTTGCTGGAGAGGTTTGTGGGTAGAGCATTAAAACTGGAATGAAATAATTACCAACTTTTACTCTAAAGACCTGATATGAGTACAAGAATTTTAAAATAACTCCTAAGCCTAAGAAAATGATGAGTAAATACACAGAGGGGGGAAGGAAACTTGGGGGGGTTAAAATAATTGGAACAGAAGGAAAGATGGCCTGGGGTGCTCCTAATTTTGGTTCTCAAACCAACTTCACTAACACAGACCTCCAGAAATGATATCATGGGCTTTTTATTGGAAAATTCTATAGACTTGGAAATGTCTAATAGTCTAATAGTGCCAAGAACTCCAATTGCCAACTTTGAAAGAACCCAAAATATTTCTGTACTATCAGCAACATTCCCATTGCATAAGTGTCAGGTTATATATATATAACTGATATATATATATATAACCTATATATAACCTATATATAA